TAACTTCCTTCAATAAAGATTACCATGAAAGACTACATGGTAGTAAAGTGTTGAAAAACTCTCTTGTTACATGCATTTTCAAAAATAGATATTTATACTATCTAATTTATTAATAACTGCTGAATATTCAGCTAAACCCGCGGTATGAGTCACTTCTTTTATTAATGCGCGAGTTATTCTAGAGTCACGAAAAACTTTTGATTTGTTAATAATAATGTTTTGTATAATGTAGAAATATTTATTTCCTACTAATAATTTCTTGGAACTCAGAGCTTACACCTTTATTATAGTATAATTTGCTGTCCTACTTTTTTGACAGCTGTAAATCGTTTCGGCAGTAATTTGCATATTGCGCAATAATACTACGGGACTACAACGTTTTTATCAATCAAATACGTTCATATTTTAACTTGGATAACTTAATTTGAAATTGAAAAGGCTAAATATGGAAGATGTTAAGATATCCCGACAAAGTATGTGAGTTTTAAAGGATCAAATTCATGTACTATTTCATGGGTTGTTATTCGGTTGAGGACATTTGCGCCATTGTAGCCGACGAAATCCCATGTGTAGATGACATTGCTCTGAACGCGCATGAGGGCGCGTCCGTCGCAAAAAAGAAACATAGATATATCGTATGTACAATAATAAAATATATGTTTGAACTATCAATGTGGTATGAAGCTGAAGTAAATAATGAAATAATAAAGAAATAATTATATATGAAGAAGAAAGAAATTAATTGCAAAGGTCCAAATTAGAGGCTTTATATGTACTGTTGTTCAATTATAACCTCATGCCTAAGATTCTTAGTGATAAGAAATAAAAGTATCTTATAGAGGGAGTCCGAATTTTACCATTTACTGAACCAAAAAAGAAACTTTCGCAAAGTATGTGCCAGTTGTTCAAGGGTACCACTTAGATGTACACACGTATATATACATGTAGCTTGTAAAACTCGTTTTGTTTGCAAATCGGTCAGATTATCCCCGTATAAAAGCCCGATATGTTTATTCAACGTAAAAATCGAGTTTCAAAAGGATTGAAAAACTGTACTAACATATCTACATTCAAACTTGGAGAAAGTTTCTTTTTCGTCTCAGTATATATCAAAGCATAGTCAACCCTTGTAGATGAAGATATGATATGCATGATGTTATAAGAAATTGTTTTTGTAAAATATTTCGGAAAACGACTAGACTTTTCGAGTATGAGCTTCTATATAATGTTTTTTTCATACATCAACATATAACAAAGCGATTCTCTGAAACAAATAATATAGTAATAAGCTTACACATTCATTTCTGATATATTCTTAACAAACAAATAATAAGATAATTAAATAATTATTTCTTATGACCAAACATTTACTAAACAGAAGTACAGTTCAAATTGATTAAATAAATAATCGTAACAATTGATTAAATAAATAAATGCTTCATGAGAAAATTCCTTTTATCCGTAAACAAATATCAAAAATAATTTAAGCAGCTATCATACCGACTATATAATGTCTTTAACATCGAAACATTTAAAAGTACTATTTCAGCTTAAACGCCGCTATATATAACGGAAATCTTTTCGAAACCATTACAAACAATTACGTCAAAATGATGCGTTAAACTGTTCAGAGCGTTACGTTAAATAAATTGGCGCCAAACAACGTTTTACGTAAGAAATATATTTTAATTAGAATCGGAAATAAACGATTCTTACAGTTTTCCTTTTCAAATCCCGTTTATAACGTGAATATTGCACTTAGAATGTAACTTTCTTAATATCATGTTGTTACATGATATTCTTACCTATTCGCTCCATGTAAATGAAGGTAAGCCATCTCGAAATTCAATAAGCTGTACAACTATTGAAATAACATAGAACATTGAATTCACCGCCAAGGATATTGTGTAATTTACCCCACATATCAAAACGTACAGGATCATTTTTGTAACACGTGTTACAAAATTGAAAAACAATACAGAAGATTTCTACGATATACTGTTTACAAACACTTTCGAATTTCTTCTTAAAGCAGAAATAGCTGTTATGCGGTATTCGTGTTTAACATAATCTCTGTAGATCTGACAAAATTTCCGTATAGCACATGGAATAAAAGCATTGTGAATTTTGGTACAGATTCTTTAAACTTTCATCGCATATTTGTCTTTTGCTATAAATCAGCATTGTTATATATAGATTTAAATAACAAAGATTTCCATAAAATTTTAGAAGGAAAAAACCGCATCGTTTATGACACTTGCAAGCACGTTGGTTAAGTAATACTTCCTAAAATTCTATAATTTCCTGGTATTAAACCTGTACATTTTTGAGGGGTTGACATGAATATCAACAATCGTTTATTAACATTGATTTAATTGTTTTTCAGGTATCCAAAGTACAAAACTGGCCATATATATGAAGCTTCCTCTTACAGTAGGGTGAACGTTTCGGTTGTCAAAAATAGCGTTTTTCGTGCGTCCGTTTTTCGTGTAACGTGCGTGCGTATATCGTGCAACGTGCGTTTGCTGAAACGCTTTCTCAAGCGTGCATCGTTTACAAGCGTTTAATGTTTATCGTGTATCGTTTATCGTGCGTTTGAAAGCGTGCGTTTGATATCCACAGAAACGTTTAGCGTGCGTCTGCGTTCGTCTAAACGTTTAAGTACCGTGTTTTGTGTCTGTTACTATTCAGAACTTAAAAAATATCTTAAACAGATCTGTTTTGTAAATTTCGGGTTTCTTAAAGATGTTCAGTGTCTCTTTCGAAGAATAAAAATATTATATAGAGAAATATTATTAATTGTGATATTTTCATTTTTAAAAGTTTGTGACCTCATGGTGAATACCGGATTTCGACGTGCTTTACGCCGAAGTTTAGTTTGAATCCTTTTTTTACATACGCTTAGGATTAAATCGCTATTTAATTGCAACATGTTTGATATTCAATTCAGCAAACATGTGTCTATATGCGTACCAATATATCCAATATCAGTTTCATCAGACATTATATGATTTTAATCAGACTAGTCCGCCCCCTCCCCCTTTACCAGTTCATCTTCTGACATTTTTACACGAAATTCATTTTTACACACATTGTCCGAATCCTATTTAGAACTATTTTAAATTTAGACAATTACTTACCATTTGTCATATTTCTTTTTCTTATTTACAGATTTTTATTGATATGTATTATAACAGCCTGGCATGCAGGGACTCGAAGCCCTGAAACTCGGAATACATGTACATTTGCCATTCCGCGGCTCTTTCCGCTGAGGTATTCGGCCGCTTACACTTTACTCCTCTAAATACTGAACAGTTTTAATTAAACCGTAAAATACTTCCCTGCTATATACGCAAATATTTTCTTGAATTTACCAGGATTACAGAGCATTGTGAATTAAACTCTGGACCATATGGCAGCCAAAGGGACCCGAACTCGTGACCCGCAGATTACCGTACCGCGTCTCTACCGACTGATCGGCTGTCCGGCCGATTACATGCACCTTTTATGTGCTTTAAAGTGACATGATAGCTTTAAAAAACAACAGGTAAATTAATTCTCAATTAACACGCATTGAAAAAAAACCCAATATACATGCCCACATTTTTTGACAAAAATTACAATTATATTACAGTATTATATATATATATTTTTTACTGAAATGGGATGAGACGTTTATTGATAGTTCCATTATTTATACATGTATAGTTAAAACTTAACTAATACATTGTACCATTTCTATATTTTTGTACAAATAAAATAGTACATAATTCTACGGTGGCTGATTTGTGCCATGTTGTACTTTTGCTTTGGTAGGCTTTGTTTTTGCTTCTTTTGGGTTTAACGTCACCACGACACAGTATAGGTCATATCGCGACGTTCCAGCTTTACTGGTGGAGGAAGACCTCAGGTGCCCTTCCGTGCATTATTTCAGGCACGAACGGGTACCTGAGTAGAACCACCGAGGCACCAGACGAAAAACTCAAAAATATGACTAAGTAGTTTGGCTGTATTTTTGCCCGGCAGCCATAGCACTTTGTTGTTTTTCCATGTCTTCGTAAAAATAATGATATGCATGAATATAACAAAAATTGATATTTTAACTGGTCCGATACATCCCATAGAAGTAGTATATAGTGAGGGAAAATAACCAGGCCACATTTTTGCGTTTTGACCACATTTTTGCTGACGCAGCGAGCCTAGACTAAATAGCCTATAGAGTAGCGACAGTTACCAAAGTCGAACGATTTTACTCTTTTCATTTATTATTTAACATCAATACATAACTAATAATAATCTTTAGAAAAGAAATGCAATAACAACAGCGTGCCATTGTAAATGAAACACGGTCCTTGAATAGCAATCGGCTATCGTAACATGTTCACTGCTATATCTATTTATCTTGCATTTTTTGTATCAATTATTCGTTAAGCTGATAGACTTTGGTGCGCACAGATAACGCTTTATTGCTTTGACAGCGGTGTGCAGCGTAGCGATGGGAGACTATTGTTACGGCAATATAACCTTCAATAACGAGAATTATGATACGGGTTTTACGCTGCTCCTATAATGTAAATATCGATAAACGTTTACATGTATATACAGAGTATTTCGCGATTCGTATTACTGCACTTTTTATTTAAAATTATTAATTATTAAAGCTATTAATCACTATCAAAATATATTAAACTTTTTTTTTTATTTCTGTACTAAAGAAATTATATCTGTTACTATGAAACACATAGTGTGCAAAATTTGCGGAAAATTGTTTAAGCCTTCGGAACGCAGAATTCACGAACAACAATGCAGCGGGAAAAACGTAAGTTTTTAAACATCGTATTATCTTACATTTATTCTTATTTTAGTTTCGTTGCAGTATTAAATGAGTTACAGTTGTATTTTTTTTGTGTCAGTGTACATATTTGTTATGCTTAATAATAATCTTAGCTCTTAATTAAAGACCAAATAAACATGCAGCACATTGTTTTAAGCTCATAAATATGAGTATAGGAAAACCTGTATTCAGCGGTCAGGTAAGGGAAAACAAAAGCGGCTGCTAAAGACAAACGGCTGCTTAAGTCAGGGGATATTCAGAACAAATTACATAATCAGGAAGCATTCAGAATCGCTGCATCGAACATACGGTCTCTTAATACTTGTGGGCGCTAAGACACGTTTGACTGTATTATTTATTTAAAAAGTCGCTGCGTTTGAATTATTTATCTAATGCATTTTGTTTTTCAACAGGATGCTAAGTGTAAAAATGTCAACGCTGATTATGCAACTTGCGAAGGAGAAAGCGCAGCAAAACAGCGAAGGATTGATAATGACGATGCCTCTGATGTCTTTGAAAGGTAAACGACTTTGAATATCCATCATATTGTATACATCGTATTGTACTTAATATAACCAAACCCTTTAGTACTTATTCTTTGTTTGCGATAAGACAAAAAAGCAACTTTCTATATACCGTTGGTATATCAGCGAACAGTTCGTATCACTTCCCCGACAGACTTAACACTTAGGCACGGTTAATTTTTATCAAATTATGCTACGTACAATACGACAAAATATCAAACTGAATTATGTACAAAATGTGTACATTGAAAAATATAATATGGATTACGTTGTAATCGTCATGGATATGACGCCGTCACCTCGACTTAGTACACTTCATATTTGCACTTAATTTTTAATTTTCAGAGTTGAAACCACGGAAATGAAACGAGCCCCAACACACGCATGCAGCAAATGCGGCAAATGTTTCAGTCGGAATAACGAACGCTCTCGTCATGAAAAGAAATGTGACGGTCCAAAACAGAAGAAAACCGACGTAACTGTCTGCCAAATTTGCAGGAAGTCGTTCAGTGACTACAGAAACAGGCTTAGACATGAAAAAGTATGTAAACATAAAAGCAACTCTAAGTTCAAATGTACATCGTGTTTCAAATATTTTGCAAGTGACAAAGAACTGTTAAAACATGAAAAAGAGACAAAACATAATTTGCCGTCAGGGAGCCAGAACAGTCGATCTGAACCATTAAGCTCCAGTCTGGAAAACAAAGCCAATGATAACGCCGCAGATAAAATAACACAAGCGAAGCGTTTAAAATGTAGATTTTGTCAAGATGGGTTTGCAACTTATCGCGACCTGTACGAACATCGAATGTTATATCACAATATCACAAACAGACAGAGAGCGGTGAATTGCAAACCGATCCATGGGCAAATAGCAACGAAACTGCGCCGTGGGTGAATGAAGATGGAAGTGAGAATGCGAGATTGCGAAGGGAGTACGATCTACATAGACATTTGATTCTGAGAGAGAGAGAGTTCATGAAGGGACTGTGAGAAACACTTACAATTTTCCCGTTCCCAGTCTGTTAAATGTCAACCAGTTGATTGAACAAATAGAATTTATTTTTGAACATAGCGCACATTCTTTCAAAGTAAATTTATCCTTCGGTTTGATTTTACAAAACGTTGAAACTGGAATATACAGATATTTTGTACCTTACTATACGGATGGTTTGTTTTTGTTTCCCCAGCTTATCAGTAACAGAAATGATATTGAAAAACTACGCAAACGTTTGTCCGAACTAGATATATCAAATTATTTTCAAAAACAAAGGCCCAATTCTAAATGGAAACCAGTTTTTGTAACTAACGTACTATATCATGTGCACAAAACAAGTTTCCCTTTAGGTATGAGCCAACCTTTGCCGGACTACATTGTGAAATCTAAAAGTATAATTTCATTTGTGAAAAATCCTAATACAAAACAATTGTACGACGACAATTTTTGCTTTTTTCGATGCCTGGCGTATCACAGAACAAAACGTATTCACTGTGAAACATTTGCAAACCATCTTTATAGTTTATTGCTAAAGTATGTTGCTGAAAATCAGTTTAAATCGTCTGATGTTACACTATGCAAAATGCCAGACTTAGAACTTTGCTTCGAAACAAATATTAATGTGTTTGAACTGACGAAAGACAAAACAGTCACCAGTTTATATAAATCTAGAGGATATTTCCGTTCGAAAACCATGACGTTGAATCTGTTTGAAGACCATTTGAGCTATGTATCTAAATTTAAGTCATATGCCTCTAAATTTCAATGCCGACTTTGCGAGAAGTTGTTCGATCGTCAAGATAATTTATTCCGCCATGAAAAGACTTGCGAAAACGCCACTAAATTGCGATTTCCAGGGGGCTATTTCGAACAACCAAAATCAATTTTCGATAAATTAAAAGCTATAGGCATTAATGTACAGTCGTCTCTGCAAAATTACCCTTGGTTTGTAACTTTCGACATGGAAGCAATGTTGCAACACACTGAAACTAGGCAAACCAGCGAGCATCTACAAAAGACAACTTTACATCACCCAGTATCGGTAAGTATTTGTAGTAATATCGAAAATTATACAGATCCAAAATTTATTTTAGATCCGTGCTTAGATTCGCTTTTGTCTCAGATGATCTCTTACATGAATGAAATTTCAGACAAAAGTTATACATTGGCCCGTGAAAGATGGGCGGACGTGTTTGCTGAATTGGAACGATTAGAAAATCAATGGGTCAAAACAGACACGAGTACTGCTGCTACTAATCACGGTGGTGGTGGTGGTGGTGACAATACTGCTGCTGTTGCTGAGGATGATGATGATGAAAATGAAGAGGGTTTTGATGATGATGTCATTGATGATGATGACGGTGGTGAAGCGAAGGAATGTAACGAATATGAACCGCCATCGAAAGAGTTTCTATATGCCATGAGCAAGGAGAATGTGTTCTTTAAATGTTTGCAAAATCTAGAGTCAACTGGTTCATTCAAAGTGCAGTATAATGACTGGGAAAGCGAAAGCAATATGAAAGGTAGTGACAGTTCCGGAAGCGATGATGATGATGATGATGATATTCAGCCGTTTCGCCCGCTGAATGCGAAAAATACTTCCAGAATAGTTAGTGATGATGATGGTGATGATGATGATGGTGATGATGATGATGATGATGATGATATTCAGCCGTTTCGCCCGCTGAATGCGAAAAATACTTCCAGAATAGTTAGTGATGATGATGGTGATGATGATGATGGTGATGATGATGATGATGATGATGATTACAGGACATTTCCGGAAACATCTAAATTAATGGTGAATTTAATTAAGCGTACCCGGGAACAGTTTGAAACATACTGTCATCAAGTACCGGTTATAGGTTTTAACTCCGCAAAATACGATTTAAATCTCATAAAGTCCAAGCTAGCGAAATGCCTCAAACTTCAAGAACCCAAACAACAGAAATTTGTGGTTAAAAGAAATCACGCATATATGTGCTTGTCAAACCCAAATCTGCGTTTTCTGGACATGGTAAATTACCTTCCACCTGGCACTTCATATGACAAGTTTCTCTCTACGTTTGGCGTTAGTCAGAGGAAGTCATACTTCCCTTATGAGTATTTCACAGATATGGCAGTGCTGGATGAAACGTCACTCCCTCCTAAGGAAGCTTTTTATTCTTCCTTAAACAGTGCAATGTTCTAGAGGACAACATCAGAGTGGTTTTCGAAAAAATAATAAATAAAGAAAACAAAACGGAGTCCGAAGCTCTGGCACTTTTAAACTTACACATTCCACCGAAGTCGAGAGTAGAGGAAAATTATCAACATCTGTTGGAAATATGGAAGCAAAATAATATGATTACGTTTCGGGATTTTCTGGAACACTATAACAATTTAGACACTTCACCAATGGTGGAAGGAATTGAAAAATTCAGGTCATATTTTGTAGAAAGGAACATCGATGTATTCAAAGATTGCATTTCCGTTCCTGGTGCGGCCAGAAAAATGCTGTATAAAGCCGGATTTGATCAGGGAGCCTCATTCGCTTTAATAAACAGACAAGATGAAGATCTCTATCATGTCTTAAAGTCGAATATTGTTGGTGGACCTTCCATTATATTTACCCGTTGTCTAGAGGCTGGTCAGACTAATATTAGAGGCAATGAGCTTTATCCCTGCAAGACAGTGATCGGTTATGATGCCAATAGCTTATATGTCCACGCGTTAGGCCAAGCGATGCCTTGTGGTAATTACATTAGGCGTAAAAAAGAGAATGGATTTAAACCTTTGAAAACATCACACAGATATACGATCATGTATGACTGGATGGAATGGTTAAATTATTCACAGAACGTTCAAATTGAACACAAAATGAACTCAGGTAGCGAGAAAAGGATAGGTCCCTACCTTGCGGACGGCTACGACCCAATCACGGGCGTCATCTATGAATTCCTCGGTTGTTATTTTCATGGTCATTCTTGTGTAACACCCGAACACCTCGAACAACATAAACAAAGGTTTAACAGAACACAGGAAAGATTGGCTTACCTGCGCAGTCTCGATTACCAAATAGTTATAATTTGGGAATGCGAATTTACAGGACAGGTTAAAGAAAATGACACCATGAAACAGTTTATCGACCAACGATATCCCATTTTTTACAGGGAAAATTCAGGCTACGTGAATGAATCTCAAATTCTCGACGCCATAGTGAACGAAAAGTTGTTTGGATTTATTGAGGTGGACATTCAGGTGCCAGACACTTGGGATCAAGTGAAGTTTAAGCCCGAAACCGATTAAGAACCAGCTTTATATTTCGAAGAAATGTGTCCATTGTTCTGTACCACGGAAGTGGATTTCGAATATATTGGCGAACACATGCAACAGCATGTCCGGAAATACAATCTCTCTACGAAACCGCGGTCTCTGTTAGTCGGTGGGATGAAAGCCGAATGTTTGCTGCTGTCTTCGCCGCTTCTTAAATGGTATATAGAACACGGACTGTTAGTTACAAACATATACCAGGTCGTGGAATTTTTAAAATTGGCTTGCTTCAAAAATTTCGTTGACAACGTTACCAATGACCGACGTCAAGGCGATGTAGACAAGTCTCAAGAACTCAAAAGCTCTTTGTCAAAATTGGTAGGAGTGTCTGCTTTCGGTGGTACCATCATAAATCAGGAAAAATTTCAAAGAATTAAGTATATTGAAGGGTTTAAAAAAGCCACTTTCGCCGTGAACAATCCCAGATTCCGACAGCTTACTGAACTTGATGACAACATGTTTGAAAGCGAGTTTGCCAATGCAAGAATTTCCATCAATTCTCCGGTATATTTAGGTTATATGATCTTACAATACGCAAAACTACACATGCTTTCATTTTACTACGACTTTTTGCTGACTTTTGTAGGCAGGGAAAAATTTGAGATGGCCGAAATGGATACTGATGCGCTTTATTTTGGGTTGGCAGCGTCTAAATTACGCGATGCTATTTTGCCCACTATGTTGCCTATTTTTGATCAAAATATTTTGGGACAATGCAGAGACGATTTTGCATGCGATAATTTCAAAAGTGTTTGGTTTCCTAGGCAGTGTTGTTCGAAACACAACAAATACGATCTTCGGACGCCCGGAATCATGAAATTAGAATTTAGTGGCACAAGAATAATCGGTCTTTGTTCAAAATCGTACGTGGCGGTAAATGAAGACAGCGAACACAAAACATTGAAATACAGCTTAAAAGGTGTTAAAAACTGTTTTGTCGATCCTTCAAAGTCTTTTCAAGAAGTACTTCATACTCAGAATCCTATTATGTCTGTTAATAGAGGAATAAGAATATTTAATAATTCAGTTTTTACATATACTCAAGAAAAACAAGCATTTAATTATTTTTACTGTAAAAGATTGGTACAAGCAGACGGTGTCCATACAAAACCCTTAGACATCGTGCTAAAACCAATTAACAAATATAAACAGAAGCAACAAGAAAAAATAGATGAAATAAACCGGTTTTTAGACTCATTAATAATGTAAAATGTTTAAAAGCAGTATAATCAAATAAGATAGTGCGCGCGCGCGAGAGAGAGAGAGAGAGAGAGAGAGAGAGAGAGGTAAGTTGACGGTGCAGTGAAAAACAAAGTGGTATTTCATGTATGATATTTAATTTATTAGCTAACTTATATTTGACATTGTAATATATGATTGTATTTCTTGTTTACTAATTAAAAAGTGTACATAAAAATAACAAATAAATGAATATCAATAATCACAACTGTTTTTCATAGTGTTTCTTTATTATCAATACGGAATCCATTTGACCGATTTCCTAGTTTTAGTGTTTACAGCTTTCCTTCTTATTCCTGGCATAACATCCCATGACGGTGACCTAACGGCTTGAATAGTTTTCCCGTTATCCATAAGTTCATTTTCTGCTTGCTCGTACACTAACGATGTCTCATTAACATTCTCCGATTGCACTTCCGTTTGTTCCTGGTTGGTAGTCTGCGTTTCAACAGAAACAGTTTCCGGCGATTGTTTTTCAGTTAAAAGTTTGAATTTTTGTTTTGGCACGAGGATCAGTTCTTTTACCGAAACAGTGTTTGTGTTTATTTTGGAATCCATTTTAAGCCGACTTTCAGTACCTCGGATACTTGCTTGATCCTTCTAGATATTAAGTTTCTTTTTTGTTGTAAAGATGTCTTCTTGTTCGCAATAGTATAAAGTGATATTCTATACCGTTTTAACTCAGCTATACGCGAACTGTCTACTTTAAAGCTTCCTTTGATAGCATTGAATAAAATTTGACTGATTGCTGTTACCTGAGATTTCGTTAGGTGTTTTGCTATAGTCCTCTTCTCACTATCACTAAGTTTGACGAAGTACTGTAGAAACTGCGCTTCCTTTTTCAAAATACTGGTCATTTTGCATCAGCTTTACTCAAGCGCGTAAACAACGGTATCTTCCTTTGGAAATATATTCGTTCTCAATCTGTACTTATCTTCTGAACGACTGTTTAAATCCACTAACAAGTAACCCCAAGGACGCGAAGTTGCTAACTGATATGCTTTGTCAAAAGATCTGCTTTTATTCCCATAAATCTGTCTTCCAAAATAGTTTATTTGTTGCACGTCCCTATGGTTTCTGAAAAGCACGTAGTACTGCGTATTAAGACTTATACTCCGAGCTGACGGAGATTTCTGATACATGTTATGAGCCAAATAAATAACAGTCATTTTAAAATGGTGCGAGTGAACTGTCCAAAGTTTTTCAATCTTTGCTGTGGTATTAATTTCAGTCATCAAATCATCCAGTATAAGGCACGAGTGTTCGTCATTTTTAGCAAGCAGATCAAATTCTTCATCTGTCGGCATTCCTTCTTTGAAAATCATGTTCGGTTTACTCTTGAGCATGTCATCGAATATACTTTGCCAAGAGCTACCGTGACAGTATACAATCGTGGAAAAATCTTCTGTAAACATTCCACTGGAATTTCTCAAAAGCCGTTCTACGAATGAAGTTTTTCCACCATTCGAAGCAGAAACCAATGTTATCGTACACGGACTTTCAAACGGCATCAATGATTGTGTTTCGTACCATGCCATTACTTCCTCATAAAATTGGAATCTGTAGTAGCGAACTAATGTCAGTTTTCTTGTTTGTATTTCAATACTTTTAAATCTTTCCAGTACGTACGCGCTTCTGATATTGCCTTATCAACTAACGGCGACACTTGTTTTAGTCTAAGCCACTGCCTCTCACTAAGCTGTATACCTATAATAGAAGCCGTATTGTTGAAGAATCTTCGTATATCTATCACTACAACACCATATCTGTTGCACACTGTGACGCATGTATCATGAAAAATGTCGTACTGTTTAATAAAAACGCATGCCGTTTCATTTTGTTGAGTCTCTATTTTATAATCTTGAACGTCCACTCGATGCGTTGTATCTTCAGTTAGAATCAGTATTCCGGGAATGGATGTGGTAATGAAAAGTAACAGCAAAATTCCAATCCACTTAATGATAGTAAAGTGACATTTGAAATCCTCTATTTTGGTAAAAAATCGATTTTCCTCAATCAGAGATTCGATTATAGTATTTCCATCAGTATCTTCCTGATTACTAATTTCGACTGAGGTCATGTTTCAAGTACAGTTAAATATTGCAACTTGCTAACAGTGTGGAAGCTTTAATGAAACTGAACGACATGTGCGTTATTTTATTATTATAACAGTCATCTGACATACATGTGCAAATACACTCGTGTTAAAACAGTGAAACTTTCTAATTGGTGGAGCTGCAATGTAGATTTTTTAGAAATGAGCAAGCTCAGACTTTATGTACATATTATCTATCGGATGTAAATCTTTAAATGTAAAATGTCCGCTTTTTTCACTGATACACAATCACGTCTCTTGCCTGTGTCAGTTCAAAGTAGCCGATTCCTTCTGTGTAAATTATGGTCGTTACCGGAATGGCTAGCGGACTAGCGAAATTGGCACTTATTCTAACAATTCCTTGCTTTAATAAAGTTAAATAGTTTCTGTCCAGGTATGCAGGTTCAATGTCAAATGCATACACTGCAAACCCATTTGCGATGTCTGACTGTGTGATTTGATTTCCCTCGTCTTTCAACCATTTCCCGCTGGTTTCAAACAGCCAGTGAAAAGCTTCGGTTGTGTCGGTTCCGTTGGTTGCATCGAAATTTAGTCTCACCGGGTTACCTAAGACAGGTAGGTTGTCAACAGTAACGGTGAGTTCTGTTAGACCTAGTCCTTGGAAGTTCCATGGAGAGGTTTGGTATGATCCAGAAACTGACTGACTATTAACAAATGCTACTACGATCTTGTTTGGTCTTATTCCTTGACATACATTATCGATGCTGAAGTTAACCTGTCCTTGAGAGATCGCTGCCAGTCGGACTTCAGTTTTTATGTACGGATACTTTGCATTAGTTTTCTCCAGCTGACGGCTTTGTGCTAATACAACCCCCGGATTGACCTGAACCTTGCACATATTCAGCACCATTTCGTCAATAACTATCTTAAAGTTCGGTGTTAAAGAGTCTGTCATTAAATAAAATTCGGGTTTAGATCTGTAGAATTTTATGTTCATCGCGGTCTGATTGAGAATGTATCTATCTTATTGAAATATGTCGTGTACAATCGGCGCGATCATGTGAACTCTTTTGCTCTCAGCGAATAAAGCAGTCCTGTATTTGAGACCTTCGTTTGCTCCAGTTTTCCCGTCATTATCGTCTAATGTTCCAGGGACGTCTTTATAGTAGCATTGCGATGTCAGCTGTGAAGATTTCGCGTCGTTTCCGTATTTCAGCAAAGTTTGTAAATACGCCTTGTATGAATAATTACCAGTTGACGAAGTGACAAACTTTCCTTGAAGAGTAACGTCCACTTGATCAAATAACGCGTGTGCCAAAAGATTTACTGGACCGACGTAATCGCCAGACTGCAGCGCGCTCCCATCACTGTGTACAATCCTGGCTTTTATACTCATGAAACTTCGCTTAGTGTCGATGTATTCCATGCCATTCTGACCGTTTACTACAAACTGTATCGGAGATGTATCGGTTATTTGTCCAATCGGTAATACTTGCTGAAAGTACAATTTCTCTACCGCGGTTTGCGTAGGAGGTAAGTTAAATAAGTCCAGTTCGCTAGGTTGAGCTTCCACTAAATACTCAGAATTGATTGCGGTCATCTTCGAATTTGTATTTTTTCCGTTGACTACTTTGGAAAGACGGTTTTTTAGACGCCGAGCATTTCCTTTTTATAGCCTTTTCCCGTCTTATTTCGTTGGCAGCTTGTTCAACAACTTGCTGGGCGGGAGAAACGAGTTCGACTTTTAGCTCAGGCGTTTTATTGGAACCTTTCTGAGATTGATTTTCAATTGGAATGATTTTGTTGCGTGCGAGCTTTCCGACTGATCCACCCGTTTGTCTCCTTGACGTTTTTTCCGATTGAAAATATTGCGGATGTTCTGATAATCCAATAGTTTCGTAATATTTTATCCACTTTTCATGATTTGGTACGTACTGTTGATTTATATTCATTTTTTTTGTTTGGTATATGTAAAACTAAAAGTAACTATTCTCCGCTTTGGTTATATGAACAACTAGAGTAACCGGGCGTTTTAACTGGTTGGCTTGGGACCCTTGATCGTTCTCTAGTTTAAATTCTATTTCGTTAATTTCAGATTTTATCACAGGCACATAGTATCCGGAGGTAAAAACTGTATTTCTATTATTTTTTACGATAACTCTTCTTAACAGTGGTACATTTGCACCGTTTATGAAACTCTCCCCGCATATATTTGAGTATATGTAGAAGGTGTCTTTTTTTATAATATCTTCTCCGAGAGTTATCTCTGTCAGAGCGATTTTCCAAACGCCATTTAGATCTATATTCTGACGCAGTTTAATCTTAAAACTGCAAGGTTTATTGTCAGGATAATATTCCAGATGCTGATCACTCCGAACAATCATATAATATGACATAGTTCGAGTCCTTAACCGTTAATGTTATGAATATCCTCCTTTCGTACCCAAGAATTAAATTTATTTGGCCATCCTTCGTACTTGACCAGATATTCGTGGACTCCTCCTCGCTTCCTTTTCCTGAGAACCTTTTCAATGATCCATAAGGCGTCTTGGTTCTTATATACTTTTTGTAATTCCTGTCCATAAAACGTTCCTACCAGGACATCGTTCGAAAAATCTGCAACCTTGTAAGCGGGTATGCCCTGTTTTATAAATCGCTCAGATATTTTAAACACCTCGGATGTCCACTTTTGATTATAATCTCTCTGGAATGTATATTTGGTGTACGCGAGTCTCACCAGGTCGCCCTTATTATATTTAAATTCTAGTTTAGTACTGCTCTGTTCATGAATTTTGTTGCTGGAATTATTATTATTGTACATATAATCCCAAACAACGGCTCCGTTCTCGCGGTTGATCTCGGAAGGCGACATATGTTTGGGCAAACTTGTATGAGGAGTCAAATTGTAACTGTTTTTAAGACTTTGCAATTGTTCTAAATACCTGTAGCTTCTTGTGTTTTGAAATAATTTGTGCATCTTGTTCCTAAATGTACGAATAACTCGCTCCACCGGTGAAACTTTAGTATCTTCATTTTGGCTCGTGAAGTATTTAATGCCCATTTTCTGGAGATACGACTTGAATAATCTGTTGTTAAATTCCCCGCCTTTATCTGTATATACTATTTGTGGCTTGCGGCCTTGTTGCAATATGCGCTCAAATGCTTCTAAAACGTCTTTAGCTCTTTTACTCCTCAGGGGTTCAACGAAAAGATATTTAGAAAACACGCAAATAACCATCAGTAAATATTTCATGCCGTCGTTGTACTTGGCCGTATTTGCCACGCTCGCAAAGTCAGCTGCCCACTGTACGTCTACACCGGAAGTAATTATTTTTCTCCTGGTGAATTTCCGCTTTATTTGTCGATGTAGAGTATACACATCTTGCTCTTGTAACCATTTTTTGATCTTATTTCTAGATATTCCATATTTGCCTCGTCTCTTGACAATTTGATACAATTTTTCGGGGCTAGTGAAGGAAGCTGGGCTTTTTGCGTCATAATACAAAGATTTCAGGTAGTCACGATAATCCATTATAAATACAAGTTTTATTTATCCAAAAAGTCACAACACTGCGACAGCGTCTCTTTTAAATCGCATATTTGTAACATGACATCCTTTAATATAGTTACAGATCTCGTTCCTCTCCTAATAGTTACAACAACCTGACCTTCCTCGTTCTTAAAAACTGAAAGGTGGTGACAGCCATCTATATTTAAACTAACCTTTCGTTTATTTTTATTAAGAAATTCATTTTCGTCGGCCGGTTCATGCCTGACAAAATTGACATGTGCTTGTGACATTGTATTAACAATTGTAAAATAAACTCCGCTATAACATTGAAATGCGATTTTCTCGCACCCTCTCTATTGCCTGATGAAACTGGTTTACACCGGATTCGAATTGTATCGTGTGATACTTTCAACCTGGCGAAGGTCAAATACACTCGACCGTATATATTTAATTGAATTGCGAAAATTAAACCCCATACAGAGTTGAATGTATTCTCTTTCGCCAGGTTAATAATATGACTCGTTACAATAAAAGAGTAACAAGAGCGAAACATAAGCAAACACCTTACATATAGGAACACAACTTTTTATTTCCTGCGAGGTTGATTACATATCAATAATCTACAATCTATATTGTGTATACATTTACATAGAAATTACAGTATATATATATATATAAGTATATAAAAGAAACTAAGAAAACTAAATAGTGAAACAGTTCATATTTCGTTCAGGTTCCCCGCAATGTCATCACATGTCTGTTAGTATCTGGTATAGAGGATCGTGGCATATTTCGTCCTTTCTCAACAGCAAGTCTTTTATTTCATCATCATCAATCTGCGCCAGTGAAACAAGTCCGGGTAAAAACAGTTTCTGAAATATAAAAAACAGATCGTTCAGTAAATATATTATCCTGTATATGTTCGTCAAAAATGTTACTATAATAGCGTATAACTAGAGAAGGAAAAACTAACAATGAAATGGATGACGCAACTGTTGCTTATGCCTTTTATCTCGTAAAAATAAATATACGAATTGCTAGAAATTTAACAATAAGTTGATTTCGATCGCTTTGCACATCAATACCTGAGATAAATCAAAATAGTTTTCACGTAATCCTCGAAGAAAAGCCGAATTAATTACAAGTGAAATATTGCATAGATAGTGTGGAAACATTGTTGAAAGCGGTGTAATACAGATTATATTCCTATACCCTTATCGGTAATGTAAAAAAAAATAGAAAACTAATCTGTGTCAGTTTATAATAATAATAATAATAATAATAATAATAATAATAATAATAATATTAAATTAATAGTAATAATAAAAGTTAATACCTGCAATTCGGGAATGCGTGCAGCGGCTTGTTTGGCTAAGTCTTGTACATTGTCCTCTCGAATCAGGCATTTCCCTGCCTGCCAGTATTGGTCGCACAACTGTTCCCACGTAGGTTGTTCTGTTGTCAGACATCCGCTGTAACCCATGTGTTGATTTTGCGAAGGGTGTTGTGTTTGGCAACCCTCGCAGTTTTCACGAGGATTCGCAAGCTCATTTATTTCGCGTATAATGGCATTTGCCGCTGTCATAGAAATTACTCTTTTTGACTTGTCTGTGGCTTTTACAATAAGAGACTGGTATCCGAGAAGATTTTCTCTCAAGGCGGTTGTATGAGTGTGAGCAAATCGCACCCCTTCCTGAGTATACTGATA